ACGAGACCTCTTCTATAATAGCGCCCCCCGATACGACCGGGGGAGACTTGTAACTATGTATTATACCGTTCTGCACCAGATAGCAAGGAGAGTAATCTCAAGGGTGGCGTGTTTGGTTGGAGAAAAACTTTGTGGTGCCAGCGCTTCAGGAAGACTCTAAAGGCTGTTGACAGGTTTTAATCAACAAGGACTCTCAACGGTCAATAATCGATAGCAAGATAAAAACGAATACTTACCATTGCCACCAAGTTAAAGTCCTAACCTAAGGCTATGTTATTAACATAAATACAATGTTTTTCGCCCTGTTATTGTTAATGTCATGCTAGCCTATTGAAAGGGTTGTGATAATTTGAATGAAAAAGTTTCTAAAAATGGTAATTTTATACCTGTCAAATTTGTCTCACTAGAGTGTGAAACAGGTTCGAAACCGAACCGCGACTAAATTTCAGCAGAAAGAGAGGATCGACGTCAATAATTTGCATAATATACTTTCAATTAACAGCTCGCTCTGGCACTGAAAAACGCAAGCTGTATCGTTTTTACAGAAGATCAGTCCCTGAAATATTTCTGAGAAGAAAGTATTGCTCTGATCAACAGCATGTACAAATTGGAAAAAATATTCTTTGTTCTACGAACGTGATACTGACAAAGACGTAACTGACAAAGAAGATGATGACAAAAACTTCTCAGATATGGGTTTCCACACTGCTATTATTATCTTTACCGAGTGAGTATCAATGCTCTTTAAAGACATGAATCTGTGTAATATAAGTAGTAAAGAGTAGTATGTTCCGAGACACGACTCGAACCTGTGGTCCTCCAAGTAGCAATGATGCGGAAGGAAAGAAGAGTCGGAAACTGATAGAGGCTAAAGAGTTTTTAGACTAGTTTGTTATGTTTTACAGTTAGACAGACCAGTGTCCTTCCGCAAAACAAGACAACCATTTCGTGGGGGGTTCCTTGGGAAACAAGAGCCTCAAACCATTCCTGAGCCATAGACTTAAAGCCTAGTTAAATTAAGATATATCGTGTTGATGTGAAGCTCTTCCGCAAAGGATATAAATGAGAAGGTGTAATTCTAACCCGATGTTTGAATTCAAAGTGAGGATAATTCTGGAAAGGGTAAATGGAAGGTTGATACGAATTATTAGCTCTCCGCTCGCCACGTAAACGGAAATATTGCCGAACCAGTAGCTGTTTAGAAAAACGTTCTGAAGTCAACTTTAAAATAAAAAATACGGATTCGCTTTCTTTCCCGTCCACTTTCGATCGAAGTGTTAACATATACACCTTCATAAGTTTATTAAACGACAATCGAGAGGTCGACACCGTTCTCCAAAGCCAGGTTTTAACTCAAAAGAGTCATGCTTAGTTCATTTTCTCAAAAACTATGCTGAAAAAGGCTTTAGGTAAACCTCACTGACTGAACTGATCGGGGCACTTATATGTGTATAAGCTCTATAAGGGGCGTATACCTTAATGCATGACGATAATATAATACATAAAACAAAGCAACATGTTTGACCCATAACATAGTTACGAATAAGAGCCACTTGTATAAGGAAAGCTTAGACAAAAAGAGATGAAAAAATCCCATCTTTGTAGAAAGTCAATTACGCAACGTTAGACGATGAAGAAACCGGATTGATGTAAGCTGTAAATTCATTGATCACATGCCTAGATGTTTGTCGTTTAAAAAGGATGAAGTATGGCATGAACCAGATATTTCTGCATTGTTATGTGGTGGAAGTGTTAGGGCGTATTCGATGTAGAATTTATCGCTGTGATCGCTAGGGATTGGCTCAGGGAAATCAGTATGTCATTTTTCTCACTTTGACTATCATAAATATTTGTCAGGCTTTGGGTTGAGTCATCATGAATGCAGCGAAAGTAACGACACGTGTACAATAGACTGCCCAACGAATGACGATTCAAACAAGCATATGCATATTTGCAAACGTGGTAATTATACTTGTAGCCTGGTACGTAAAGTCGTATGCAGTGGGGGAGAGTATGATCAGCAATGCAGCGGGAAAGAATATTGCAATATGCAGTGTTCCGGGAAAAATTGTACTCAGCGTTGCAATGGGCAAGGAAGAGAATGCAATATGACATGCTGTGAGGAAGAGTGTGATCAGCAATGCAATGGGAAAGAATATTGCAATATGCATTGTTCCGGGAAAAACTGTACTCAGCATTGCAACCGGCAAAGAAGAAGATGCAATATGACATGCAGTGGGGAAGAGTGTAATCAGCAATGCAATGGGAAAGAATATTGCAATATGCATTGTTCCGGGAAAAACTGTACTCAGCGTTGCAACCGGCAAGGAAGAGGATGCAATATGACATGCCGTGGAGAAGAGTGTAATCAGCAATGCAACGGGAAAAAATATTGCAATATGCATTGTTCCGGGAAAAACTGTACTCAGCGTTGCAACCGGCAAGGAAGAGGATGCAATATGACATGCNTTCAATACCGGCTAGCATTAGGGTATCTGAGTACGAATGACCTGGCCAAATAATGGCGAGAGCACGCCTCTGCACTGACTCTAAGGTCTCAGATAAGTAGGACGGTAAATTGGCAAATGCAGTAGAGGCGTACTCAAGTATGGAACGTATTAGGCAGCAATAGATGTAGACGATATCTTCCGCTGGGACAAAACTTCTCCTGAGCTAACTTAAAGCAAACAACCGTCTGTTGTCATTGGACAAGTTGACGCCTAAGAGCTTGAACGACGAGACCTCTTCTATAACAGCGCCCCCCGATACGACCGGGGGAGCCTTGTAACTATTATCATGAAGGAAGACATTAGCCCGTTGGTTTTTGACGATCAAAATCAAACAAAGTTTTTTGACTAACTGTGCCCAATTTTTACTGACGAAAAAAAATATAGGTATCATTGATAACAATTTGTGGATTATGACATAAGCAGGCACGATCTACAGCTCTCTACCACTTAGCCAGCGTGTGTGCTAATATCGATAAAGGGAAAAAAAATCTTCATTGATAGACCCGTTCCCATCGGATGTGTCATTATCGCGAAGCGACTTTTGCTACGCTTCCTCTCTACAAAGACCTAAATCTTTGTAAACTGACTAAATAAAGAAAGAGTAGCAAAGGCCATTGATTAATTTTTGTTAGCATGACTACTTATGGAACTTAACAACTTAACATCTTTACCCTGGGGCGACATCATTTAGAAACAAAAAGATTAAAACAACTTTCTGCTCTGTCATTACACGTCGCGTGTAACCCTATGGAGAGGTTTTTAAAGTTAACTGGTTATATCAACTAAGTTGAAATAGTAAATTGGCCACCGTAACGAACAAAAATGCTGACGTTTCGAGCATTAGCCCTTCGTCAGAGCGAAGGGCTAACGCTTTGAAGAAGGGCTAACGCTCGAAACGTCAGCTTTTTTATTCGTTACGGTGGCCAATGTACTATTTCAACTTAGTTGATATAACCAATTACCTTGTTACCCCCACCGATGCAGCATCACAGTTTCTTTAGAAACTTTCAGCCTTTATTTCTAGAAGTTAGCATGGAACAGTTTCTCAGAATAATAATTTCATTTTGATCATGTTTCTTTTGCCTATCCAACTTAAAAAGGGTGGTTAAATGGGAATTGCGAGTAAATTTTAGCGGAAAGATGTGACGGTTAATGATTTGCATAATAGTAAACTTCCCGCTTATGCCTACAGGAAAGCAGCTGGTTTTTAACTGATCTGTCGAAAATTTGTGAAAAGATAATTCTCACGAGCCCTCCTACTAAGAGAGGACATTTTGACAGATCCTCAACGACGGCAAATTTGACAAAAGATTTTCTTTGGTTCAGTTGACAGCTGCTCAACCCAGTACAAAAGCTGTTTTCAAAAGATTTATATTCTTTAATATATATCATAAGTATACCCGGAGGAGTCGATCCTATGGATTTCCGAATAGTGTTCGCAAATAATCGAAAAGAAAAATAGATGAAAAAAAAGTGGGTGAAACCACCTCAGAGCGTCAGAACTAGATTGGTGTTAAATTAAACGGGTTTGCCCTTCATCACAGTTGACTACATCGACTTCCATTAGGAAGTCAAGACAAAAGATCTTGAGGGATATACTTCAAGGAGCTAATCTGGCTATGTATTCCTAAGCTCCAACCTTTAAGTCTAATTTAGCTCAGGAGTCTTTCATAAAAAGATGTAAAGTTTTTGCGCAAATATGCAAATGCTAATGGTATAATTTAAGCCCAATTTTTCACTTGAAATGACATGTGAACTCTGAAATAACTAGTAAATAATAGTTAGCGTTTGTCAACATATGAAAATCATATATGTGAACTGCGGTTAAAGAAATTAGTATGAGAACGATCTTAGTAGTTATGAACACTACTTAAGCAGTAGTGAAAATAGTGCCTAAAAAAATTCAGGCCCGTGCGGGATTCAAACCCATGACCTCTGCAATACCGGTGCAGAGCTTTACCAAATTACTGAGGTTAGTAGCTCAAGAAAAACATCTGTAGTCTTCTTTTAAAATGGGTCGGCGTATTTTTTCCATTCGATCTCAATTTTTATTTTGGTCTAAAGTATCTACACTGATTTATTTTTCTTATGAATTCTGTGGAATAAACAATAGTGGTCCATTGAAAGCCGTTTTTCAGAAATATTCTTGATACTCAGGGATAAAATAGGCGTTATCCAGAAATATACTTGGTAGTAAGGGATAGCATATTTCTAAATATTTATGCTACACAGCGCAGTTATGCGAGCACGGTGTCACCTTACTCTAGCTGGAGACACCTGCAAAATGGCGCAAAAATAGGATACATTTCTGGGCATAGTGATGATGCATAATTCATCGCGCTAGACCCATGTAAGCAGCAATTTGGAAAAGAGTGGCCTATCCTTGCAAAAAGTAAATCAATTTATTATTTTGAAAGGGTAGTGAAGAACGTAACGAAAGACTATCTTTCGATATGAATTGATTATTTTTTTCATATTTGTTTTGAACAGGTGCACGGGCTTCTTAAAATGGAATTCAACCGGAGATAAGATGTCAAAAATTTGCATTATATTCAATTCCCTGCATAATGAAGACTGATTTTGACTCAAAACAACACATGCGGAAAGCTTATCCTTTCCTATTGTTAAGCTTGTAAAAATTGCAAAAACAACAACAACAAAAAAACCGAAAAGGTTAAAGGTAACACCGAGAGAGACTTTAACCACACGGAAAGAGAGATGCTGACGAAAGCATGTCAGATATGGGGAACAGTTCTAGTATCAATAACCTTGTTGGGTGAGTACCAAAGTTCTTTTATGGACATAAATTTAGTTCATTTAGTACCACAAGGATACCCCGGAAAGAATAGCTTCGTCAACTCGAATATTCGGGACTCGAATATTTTGCCCTCACGACGGCCTTTGGACAAAAATAAGGACGGGGAGAGAGATAAAACCTTTGAAGTTCTCATCTTCCTGTATTACGAGGGCGTAATTTAAGAAACCATATTATTATTACTTAGCTATAGATAACTCATATTAGCTATAAGCCCAATCCAACTTAAGTAGTCTTTTAAGGTGAAACTCTTACGCAGCGATGAAAAGAAAGAACGTTTATCTCAACCCCATGAATTAGACAAAAAATATGGATTCTGTGGAATGATCAAAATAAACGCGTGCATACGAGACAACTCATCTAAACTACATTTCGAAAAACCTCACAAATGAAGACCTGCTAGAAAAAGGGAATATTATTCGATTTTCTTTCTTGTATCTAAATTCTTAGCTTTTAGGCTTTATTGATTTATCAGCCTACCTGTCGTTATGCAAATGACAGTTGAAAAATTGACTTTGTTAAAAGGATTAAAAATTAAACCTCTCCAGCAGTGGTGACCTTACTACAACACTTCTCACAGTAATTTTTAGAGTTGGGAAGGAAAATCCATCGTAGGTAGACTTAAGAAACTAACCCATAGGAGCTGTCTACAACGCATTCCCCCTAAAAAGCTATTTTTGTTCATAAATTTGTCGTGACGGACTTAAGAAAAACGCTGAGACGTTTTACTTCCACCTGTCTCAACATGAGAACTGGAGTTTATTCAGGAAAAAAAATTGTTGTTGCCCGTACAATATCTGATTTGTCAAAAAATAAAACTTTAATAAATAAAATAATAAAAAAAAAAGCGAATAATGTTTTTTTGCAAATGAGTTCAATACGGGAACTGCGTCAGTCAGATTCTAATTTCCTGCTTCGCTGGTAAAATCGAATTTATACAGAGAGTAAAAATGTTTATTCTTTGAATTACGAATTTATCTCTGTTTTTTTTTTGTAAGTCGGATAACTTTGTTGTGGTGGAATTCTTGCAAAAAGAGAAAAACACACACATACACACACGCACACACACGCACACATACACACACACACGCACACACACGCACACACACGCACGCACACGCACACGCACACACAAAGATAGTACAGGTTCCCGAAAACGAACAGAGATGGGAGAGAATTGAGTATAGTGACACGGACTCTGAACACCGTATAATTTTTAACCTCAAAACAGTCGTTCCTCTACAAGGAAGAGCTCACAGGTTAATCTGAGTGATATCGGCGGTGTAAAGGCGGTTAATCTGCAGTCTTATAATGAATCGCATCATTGAATACAATCTCGCTTTCTGATTGGTTAAGGAAGCGAGATATTTAGCGTGGAATTGCGAGTTAAAAACGATGCTAAGTGATATTGTTTCGCATCTACGTAAGCATAACAACTATCTTCAAATTGTTACAAAGTCTTGTTACTAAGTCAGTTTAAAGCGTTTTCAAAACCATTGTCACCTTTTAAAGAGCCAAAAACAAAAAAGCGTTTTTCAAAGTCAGCCTGAGGTTCTTCCCTGTTTTGAACTGAACTTGAAACTCTTGAAGGGGCACGAAAAACCTCTTTCGCTCGCGACAACGCGAAAGCGAGAAAATGTTGTGAACTTGGCCCAGAAAAAACAATCTCCGAGCTAACAGGTCGCGTCAACCCGGGTTCAATACCCACCTACAGCCATAATCTTCTCGTAAAACAACGAAGGATGTCAAGCAAGTTGGGTGGCTTTTCAATCGTACCTACTACCTTTGCGAGAAATTTGCATTGTGTCATCAACCTTGCACTTCCATCAGTAGATGACAATAACATAAATAACATAAAAAAATAAATAAATAACAGAAAATAAATAAATAACATAAATAACATAAAAGCTATGAATAACGGCAGTGATGGTCTAACAGCGAGAGCTCTAGGTTAGCTGTTCACCTATGTATCGTTCAACAACTCTCCAGTGAATATTTCCATCAAATTTCAGTCAAATGTTTATCCCAACGATAACTGCTAATGGCAGTTGTCTGTACTGAATTTTTACAGATAAAAAGATCGAAGTTTTTGGACTTTTCATGAAACACTGCTTTGTTTTTAAAGGTATAAGATATCAATCAATACACGTATTTACTCTTCAAGGTACGTACCCTAGATCAATCGCGATTTTAAACTCTCAGTGCTTTCGCTTGCATACTTCATTTCAGTTTTGCCACCTGAGGTAAAAGGTGTAAATTATTTTCCTTCTCGAGTAAATTATTTGGAAATTTGAAAAAGAGATGTTAAAAATAAATGGCATATAAATTCAGCGAAATACCATCATTATCCTTTGATGGTGTGAAGCTTGTTTAAAAAGTTTGAAAACGAATATAAAAACCAGGTTCAAATAAAAGATTACAGAGGTTCAAACGTGCACA